TGTGAATAAAAAGCAAGCATATTTCCCAGTTGGCAGTGGAAAGTAGAATCTCTCGGTGTAGTGGAGGCTGGAACACTTTCCTTCAGGCTGTTCACTAAGGACAATGGATACAATATACACATTTTTTAAAAGTGAAAGAAATTAGTGCTGGGATAAAGGCCTCACTTGTTCGCATAGTGGAAACGTAATTTCTGGGCCTGAGTCTTTACTGATTTAGGACCTTCAGTTATAGAAAAAAATCATTTCAGGATTATTTCTTGCTAAAGAAGGAGCTGACTCCCAGTGACTGACATAAAATATCCATGTTAGCAAATAAGGCTGTCCTCATATTTTATTAGCTCAATTTCATGCTCTAAATAGTAGTGCAAATCTTATGTTCTGTGTCCAGACAATTGGAAACTGAAAACCAGTAATGATTGATCCAAATGCTAGTTTTTGTTTTTGCGGTTTTTGCATGAGTGTATTGTCTGCACGTATATAAGTGCACCTATGTCACGGGATGCCTGTAGAGGCCAGAAGAGGGCATTGAATCCCCTGGAACTGGAGTTATGGATGGTTGTTAGCTGCCATGTGGGTGCTGGAATTTGAACCCAGGTCTTCTGCAAGAGTGTCCAGTGCTCTTAACCACCACGCCATCTCTCCGGCGGCTAGTTTTTGTTTTCTTTTGAGAGACACGTACAGCTTTGCTCATATTTTGATGAATAGTACATAAATGTGTGATGCAGACAAATATAACTGACTCCCTTCGTTCTGATCTAATTCCAAAAAGGAGCCTCAGAGGACTGTAGGTCATGTCAAAGCTGACTGCAAAGCAATGTTGGTAGTAATGTTAGAAAACAAGCCCAGTGTTCTCCCAATTTCATCTGAAGTCACTTCCACAAATCTTACAACTGCATCCTACCTGTATCCCAATGCTAGGAGTTCCTTAAATCAATTGAAGTCACTTGGCATAGGTGGAAGGCAGCAGCTCAAATACAGCCCAAGCCCTCAGGGCGGTGGGTCAGGAGGCTGTTTATTTAGTGAACAAAATTACTTTTTTAAAAGAGATATTTAGTTATTATTTTTATTTTATGTGTATTGCCTACATTAAGGTAAGTCCACTTGTGTCATGCAATGCCTGCAAAGATCAGAAGAGGGCATCGGATCCTACAGAACTGAAGTTATGGATGGCTGTTAGCTGCCAGTTTAGGTGCTGGGAACCGAACTCGGTCCTCTGCAGAACAGTCAGTGCTCTTAACTGATGAGTCATCTCTCTAGCCCCCAAAATTCTTTAAAAGAATAAATCAAAACAAAAAGGTTCATATCTCAAATATTTTATTTTAAAGTTAAATGCATACATATGCATATATTCACCAGTCTGTCAACTGAGAAACACTTGATTTCACCCACTTTATTCTATTTTATAATCATTGATTTCCACTCCCATTTTGATTACTTACTTCCTTCGGTTATTTGAATTCAATTTGATCATCCTTTAAATTGTTTTACACTTATTTATTTATTTATTTGTTTATTTATTATTTATTTTGTGTGTGTGAGTGTGTGTCTCACAAGAGGGATGAAGAAGGCCAAGGACAACTTCCAGGAGTTGGTTCCTCTCTACCTCGTGGAACTTGGGAATCAAATTCAGGTCATCAGGCTTGGTGACAAGTGCTGAGTCATCTCCCAGCCTTGATCATCCAATTTTAGTTTCTTAAGGTAGAAACTTGGCTCAATGATGCTAAATTATTCTTATTTTGAAAATAGGAACAGTTAAAATATAGATGTCTTTCCTAACTACTGACTTATCTACATCTCACAAATTTTAAGCAATTTATGTTTCATTTGAAATCTGTTCTATCAAAATGCATAATTTAGAAGTGTCATTAATTTCTAAATATAAGTATTTCTAATTATGAAAGATTTTCTACATGTATTTTTATTATTGACTTTTAGATTAATGCCATCACCATCAGAGAATGTGTTCTATATAATTTAAATTCTTTTAAATGTGTTGAGACCTGATTTTTGGCCTCTGGTACAACTTGGCAAATATTCCAAGTGCGTATGAATAAAACACACATTTGCTCTTGGGATAGAATGTTTTAAAAGTGTCCAAACCAAGTTTATTGTGAATGTTGTTGTTGTTGTTGTTGTTGTTGTTGTTGTTGTTCTTCTTCTTCTTCTTCTTCTTCTTCTTCTTCTTCTCTCTCTCTCTCTCCCTCTCTTTCACTCTCTCTCCATATATAAATATATTTACAATATTCTAGCTAATTTCTAACTATAATTTTGTGTGTGTGTTTATTTTTCCTTCTAGTTTTAAAAAAATATCCTTTGAAGCTCTTTGGTCCTATTATACAGTCAAGACGAACTCTATTTTCCTGCTGAGTTATCCCCTTCGGATTTATAAAACATCTTTATCCCTGATAATACTCTCTATCCCAAAGACATTAATTCTACTATTTGACATTTTTTATCCAATCTGATAATCTCTGCCTTTAAAGTGTTTAGATTGTTGATAATTAATGTAGCTATCAATACAGTTGTGTTTAAATGTGTCGTCTTTTCTATTTGCCCCATCTGTTCTTGTTTTTTTTTTTATGATCGACTCCCACTCCCTGAGTTAACTGAGCAATTTCTAGACTTTCATTTTTATCTCCACTACTAACTTACCATCATAACTCTTTGTTTCATAGTTTTACTGGTTACTTCAGAATTTATGATAGTCATATTTAACGTATAGTCTATAGCCAGATGACATTATACACATTGACATAAAATGGAAAACCTGAGCAATAGCACACATCTGTTTTCTCTATCCTGTCCTGGGCACCGTAATTGACATATATTTTAGTTTTAGTATATCATGATATTTTTTCTATTTAAAATAGTATCTTTTAAAGAAATACAAATGCTAATGAGAAGAATCATGCTTTCTGGGCCTCTGCTACATGCTGTCTGTGGTCTTCCTGTTCCCTTATTTAGATTCAAGTTTTACAGGTGTTCTTTTTCTTCAATCTGTGGCCTTCTAGTAATGCTTACTATAAAATCTCCCACTGGCATATTTTCTCAGATTTTGTTTATATGAAACATTTTTAAGCTCAATTTTTAATTTTTATTCATTTATTTTGTGTGCATGCATGTGTGTGTACATGCATGTGCCATGGTTTACAAGTGGAAGTCATAGGACAACTTGCTGGAGCAGTTCTGTCCTTCTACCATGTGGATCCAGGGAATCAAACTCAGGCTGTCAGACTTGGCAGCACACTTACCTGCTGAGCCATCTTGCCAGCCCTGGAAAGTTTTTATTTAGCCTTTATTTTAAAAGCCTTCATAAGCCAGGTGTGGTGGTGCATGCCTTTAATCCTAGCACTCCAGCACCCAGGAGGCAGAGGCAGTCAGATCTTTATGAGACTGAGACCAGCCTGGTCTACATAGCCAGTTCCAGCCTATCTGGGGCTACAGGAAGACCCTGTCTCAAAAAACCCCAAATATTTTAATAGGCCTTATTTTTAGAGGAATTTTAATTCACAGAAAAGTTAAGCTGAAAATCTATTATAGCCAGGTGTGCTGGCTCATACCTGTAATCCCAGCCCTTAGGAGA